CGTTTTAGTGTGAAAACGACCAAATTTCCCTTCGGTCCCGGTGGCGATGTTGGGTCGCAAACCGCTTACCGTTGTCTGCAGTGCGGTAGAAATGGAGGCCCACCAGGTTGAGCTGGCGGAGTTAGGTTTAAAAACCTTGATTCACGGAAAGACTCTACAGCTCGAAAGTTGTAAAATACGTATGTTTTATTCAGCGCTGAGAGGCATGGGGGATCGCTCCTCCAAAGGCATGCGTGCCTATAACAACACCTTTCTTTGTATTTATCTCTTAGGGTGTTGTATATACATTAGGTTGCTTAATACACCTATATATATTCATAACCTGTCCCCGCTTCGTACTTTAATGAGCTCTAAACTCATTTCCATGCGTTTGTGCTTGCGCAGTATCTTCGGGTGGTCGTGGGCAGGGGTCTTCAAGAGGAAGGCTAGGAGTCTTCATCAGCTTAAAGTTCTAACCCTGTCCCTTAGCACGTGCACATTGTACTTGTTTTTTTACTAACTCAGCACTCTTCTGCCTTAATAAGCTAAAGCACTCCTAAAATTAGTGTTCTATACATGTGGTAAGATAAGGTAACACCCTGTTGTGAACTACTGTCTTGATTTATTTCTTCCCTTGTTCACTCAACAGGCCCTTAATTGCCTTTTGGAGCCTACTTTGTTTACTCAGCCAGTGCCTTCTGAAATTCTTTCCTTGGGGCCTACTCCTCTTACCAATTCACCCTTAGCTCTGGTCAGTATCCTTTCCTTTTGAAGTGTACATGTCGATGTGGAGCAAGCACAAGCAGGCAGTACCAGTTGTTTAGTAAGCAACTCCCAGTCCATCATTGATTAATCTTTTTGACTTCTTTCTATCAGTAGTTTTAGCTTCTTTGTATCAACCTTGGGTTGGAATGATAGCGGTTGGAAAGGGAACTCGTGTCTCAGCACCTTCACAGGGAGGAGTTTTGTCCTAATATAAACCTAATACCTAACATACTCGAATCTAACATAAACTGCTCTTTTTCATCTTGAAGCCATTTCAACCTTGTCATGTTGCTCCGTGCTTCAAGTTGTCCTTTGTGGTGGATAGTGATGATTTACTTGTATCACTGACATTAATTAATTTGGCAATGTTACACTTCAAAGCCACAACATGAAGGGGAAAAACAAACCCTTGAGCACCTTTAATATTTGGGAGAGGAATGATAAACCCCCACAAAGTTATTCCCAAAGTGATGTTCTCTGTTCTCTTACCTGTGGTGATTTAAGGAGAAATTCTGTGTTTTTTGTGTTCTTAGTAACTGGAGTTTGTTACTGCCATTTCAGGTGGTGTAAGGAACGTTTTCCTCAGCCTTTTCTGCACAGTTGTGGTAGGAAAATGAGGATTTTTTTTCTTGTTCTCATCCATAAAATAAAAGGTGAGTTGAGGTAACTTTTGGGAAGGGAGGGTTAGTTCTGTAAGTTTTTATGTGGAAAATCTGTGTTGGGAAACAGTCATTGGGGTCAATAGGAAACTGTTGTTGTTGTTATGATTGTTGAATGATTATAGAATTATTATGACTGCTATTACTATTATGGAATCATGGAATTATGGAGTTATAATTGTAATTGAATACTAATAATACTACTAATATTAATAATTCCATAATTCCATAGCAAATCCAACATAATACTAATAATTTTGTAATACTGTGGTAGTAGCAGTAATAATAATAATAGCTATTAATAAGATGGTAATTCAACAATACTAATACTACTAATAATAATTTGATAATTATGAATCTGCAGTTCTGTAATTATAAATAAACATCATCATCATCAGCCAGTGAAAATAATGCCATAGCAATTATAATTCCAGAGTAATTCCATATTCTCATTCTTCTTCTTGAATTAATATAATTATTACTGAACTGTTACGGAATTAATATGGAATTATTGTTGATGTCGTTTGTTACTGTTACTGTTGTTATTAAAGCAGAAGACATAAAGGAAGAGCAGACAGGAGGTTTTTGAGTTTAAGGTGTATCAAAGTATTTACATAAAGTGGAATTCAGTAGAAACATTAATTTTCAGGAATGTTTTCTAAATTGCAAAGGATCAGATATTTTACATAGATATAAATAGTTATATATATGAATGTATATTATACCTTAGCTCTCTATTACATGTAATTATCATTACCTAATGAATTTACATATGTAAAATGTAAATGAATTTGCAGCAGGTGGCACTTGTAAGCACAGAAGGAACAGTTGTGGGAGCAGTAGGTTTGGACTTGGACACCTTTCCAACCCAAACCATTCCCTGATTCTATTATGTATGTACTTACCACCCAAATAGACTTTGTGTCGTGCAGTGAGGCTGTTAATGGTAGCAAGTGATGTCCAGTAGGGAATGTTACCACACCAGTGTCAGACAATCCGTGCTTTACTCACTGTCTTTCTGTGTATATCGAATCCTGGTTGGTATTACCTATTCCCTAATGAGATTAGAAGAATCATAGTATCATAGAATTTAAGGGTTGGAATGGGCCTTACAGATCATCCAGTCCCAACCCCCTGCCATGGGCAGGGACACCTCCTCACTAGATCAGGTTGCTCAAGGCCTCATCCAGCCTGGCCTTCACCACATCCCTGGGCAACCTGTGCCAGTGTCTCACCACTCTCACAGGGCAAAACCTTTTTCCTAATACCTAACATAAACTTTCCCTCCCTCAATTTGAACCCATTACCCCTTGTCCTGTCACTGCAGTTCCTAACACAGAGTCCCTCTCTGGCTCCTTGTAGGCCCTTCAGATATTGAAAAGTTGCTCTGAGGTCTCCACACAATCTTCTCTTCTTCGAAGAGAGACTAAAGAAGAGACAAAAGCTGTAGATTATCTTCTGTATAGATAATTCAGGAATCTTCTGGATTGATTTGTAGTGATACAGTTAGAACCTTTCATTAGAAGTAGTAGTTTAATCCTTGATGCTTTGCAGGTGTTTCCTATGTAGACAGAAATAGAGGTCTCTGGATGGATGTGACAGAGAGTGGTGGGTCTGCAAGAGAGGAAGTTGTTTGACAGCTGAAGAAATTTGTATGATGCTCATGTCCGTTCTGTCTGCTCATAAACTGAGATAAACCAAGTATTCTTGTCTGGGTGTGACAAAGCCACATAGGAAGGGTTGAGAGTAACAGCCTTGGTTGGAATTTTGGCCAAGAAATGAAGGGCAATATCTTCCAAAGTATTAGAGATGTGATATCCTTTAATGAGGATAATCAGATAATGAGGAGATAGTAAGTGCTGCACAGCCTGTGTAAAGCTGTCTGACTCATACACAAACTGTGGGACTTACAGAAGGAATTACTGAGGTGAAGTTCCCGTCCTGAGTCGTGATCATAGTGGTACCTTCTGGCATTCAAACCTCTGAATCTTTGAATTAATTTGCATCCATCTTTTTACAGCTACAATTCTTTCTTCCTTTAGAAGACTCGTTATTGTAATTGCTTAGATTTACCTTGTTATCCTCTTGAGTAATATATGACATTTTGCTGCTGTCAGTATGTCTTAGGGATGATTTCGTTCAGGTGCTGCTTTCTTACTTGGTTTTCCCCACAGATTCATTCTTGAACTAGAAGACAGCAATACAAATGCCTAAAGTTTCTTCAGGTAAATAAGAAAATAATGCAGGAAATAAATCTTTTCTCATCTTGTTGAAAGAAAGAATCATAGAATCAGCTGAGTTGGAAAAGACCTCCAAGTTCATCAAGTCCAACTCTACTGTGGTTACTAGACAGTGCCACCAAGTGCCACATCCAGTCTCATCTTGAAACCCTCCACCTCCCTGGGCAGCCCATTCCAATGCCTGATCACTCTCTCCATAAAAAATGCCTTCCTAATATCCAACCTAAACCTCCCCTGGCAGAGCTTGAGTCTGTGCCCTCTTGCCCTCCTGCTAGTTGCCTGGGGGAAGAGAACAGCCCCCACCTGACTACAACCTCCTATCAGGGAGTTGTAGAGGGTGATAAGGTCACCACTGAGCCTCCTGTTCTCCAGCATAAACACCCCCAGCTCCCTTAGCCTCTCCTCATAGCACTTGTGCTCGAGTCCCTTCACCAGCTTTGTTGCTCTTCTCTGGACCTGCTCCAGCACCTCAGTATCCCTCCTGAACTGAGGGGCCCAGAACTGAGCACAGGATTCAAGGTGTGGCCTCACCAGCACCGAGTACAGGGGCAGAATCACCTCCCTGGTCCTGCTGACCATGCTGTTCCTGATCCAGCCCAGGATGCCATTGGCCTTTTTGGCCACCTAAGCACACTGCTGGCCCCTGTTTAGCTTCCTGTCTTTCCAAACTCCCAGGTCCCTTTCTGCCTGGCTGCTCTCCAGCCACTCTGTCCCCAGCCTGGAATGCTGCATGGGATTGGTATGGCCAAAGTGCAGGACCAGCACTTGGCCTTGTTAAACCTCATCCCATTGGAATCAGCCCATCTCTCCAGCCTATCCAGGTCCCTCAGCAGAGCCCTCCTGCCTTCCAGCACATCGACATTACCCCCAACTTTGTGTCATCTGCAAACTTGCTAACGGTGCACCCAATCCCCAAAAGAAGCACAGAAAGTTTAGTGTTTTGCAAAATACACAAGGCTGTGTGTTTTGGAGCTGCCAATCCCTGAGATACAATGGAAGAACCAAGATAAAATCATAATGGCTTACTATATCTTTTTTTATGAGTGAAGCAAACAGCTGTTTTTAACTTTAGACTTCATGAAAACTTCTGAAAAGCATAA